GGCCCGGGGGCGGGGGTTAGCCAGTACCTGACCAGCTCAGCTGGCCCCTGCTGGTATGGCTGCCTGGACTCACGGGCATGCTGGATATTCAAATCCCACTCGGGGCAACAGGGGAGGGAGGCTGGCACCCGAGGGTGGCTCTGGGGTCGGGTGGAACCGGCAGCAGCGCCCAGTCTGGACCTTGCTTTGCAAAGATTTCCTTGATCCAAACCATAAGGGCAACAGCTCGTTTACCTCCAGGAAGAAGGAGCAGTAGGCAGAGGTCTGGGGCCTCAACTCCCAGCTCCAGAGGGGCTGTGGCAAGGTGGTGCCCTTCAAATCGCCTGGCTGCCTGGTGCAGTGGCAGTGCTGGGGGGGGACAACCATCCTTCAGCCCCCAGGACTGTCCGCCCAGCACCTGCCGCGAGGGCTTTTCTGCCCAGATTCCTCCCTCCAATCTACTCTCCAGGGGTCCGTGCAGCCCAGCTCCTAGTTCATCCAGTTATTGGGATCCCTCAGCTGTCCTTGGCCCCCACAACCCGCTTGTTCTCACATGCTGTGTCACCAGCTCCTCAAGGTCACATGCCCCCTTTGCTGCTCGTTAGCACGCTCATTAGCCACTGCACTGAATTTAGTTAGGGACCCCACTGGAATTAGAGCAGGGACAGGTCGGTGCTTTGCATCTCTCCTGGGGGTCTGCAAGAGGCCGGAGCCGGCTGGGCTTTCTGGAGGACAGCATTGATTAGCCCCAGTTGTCGAGATCCAGCCCCAGGGCAGCTGCTAGGAGAGGCTGGGTCAGGGCTGGGGGGGCCAGTCGCACCATCCCTGGCAAAGGAGCTGACCTGTCTCCAGCCGGGGCCCAGCAAAGCCAGGGGAGGTGACTCTCTGGGCTGCAAAACCAGCCCTGACCTTGTCCGCTGGGCAGGCCTCACCCTGCTGCAATTGCCACTTCATCAGGGGGCCACTAGAGAAAGGGCTGGTAACCTTCCCTCTGTGATTGAATTTACCCCCTTGGCTGGGGTCAGGCCAGCCTCTGCCAGGAGGCTTTGTCTGGACAGCTCAGTCCCAGCTCCGGGCTGAGAGGAGCCTGGAGGTCTAGTCTCCTAGAGTCCCAGCCCCTCCTCGTGTGACGGGGCTTCCCCAGCTCCCACTCCTCTCCCCTGGGGGACCAGTTGTCCAGTGAAGGGTAGCGAGAAGGCTGCACGCCCGCCTCACCGATCCAAGGGGATCACCATGCTTAGAGACCAAAGAGACGGCTAGCTCCTCTCTCCTGCCCCTGCAAGAGCAAGACACAGGCCCGGAGCCCCCTCACTGCCCCCTGCGTCTCTGCTGCGACTCCAGGTCCCCTCGGATTACATCCCCTGGCCCCTCCGAACACAGCTCCCCATTGCCCCCCGCCTGGTGGGAGCGCTCGCGCACACGGGAGGCACTGCCAAACCCGGGAGGATGCTGCACTCGCTCCCCGCCCTGGCACCTGCTGTGACCCAGAGCAGATGACTTCTCCCAGCAGCAGATAATCAGCTCCCTCCCAAATGACCTGGAGATGCCTGGTCAAGCGACTCGCCCAGGGAGATGGCACAGCCCCATCTCTGCTCAGCAGCCCCTGTAGAGGCCTGGGTAGCCCCTCACTCACGTTGGCGCGAATCCAGAGCAGTGAATGGCATGGAGCTCCTCACACGTGGCTGGAGGCCATGCAAGCTCCTTCAGGCAGGGCCCATCTCTTTGCTCTGTTGTACAGCGCCTGGCACCGGGGCGGGGGGTCCTGGCCTGCGAGGAGGGGCATCCCTGCAATATAAAGAAGTGAGATGAGATTTAGCTCAGTGCGGAGTGGGAAATGCTCCTGGGGCCCTGCTCTCAGGGACAGTCCGTGGGGCTTTGGGGACTGGCTGGTGCCTTGGAGACTCTCGCCTGCACGGTTGTGATCACTACATCTAGGAAAGCCTCGGGACACGATGCCCTCAGCTTGCCTGCTGCGCTGAGCCAAGAGATACGGGCAGAGCCAACTCCTTCTAGGGAGGCATCTAGGAAAGTGCTCGATGGACTAGGGCACAAATACATGCCTGGGATTCCCTTCCCAGCACAATTCATCTCTCGTGCGCCGGAGCCCGGCGTGGCAGGCTATGAGCCTGCAGGCTGCTGCAAAGGCCAGCTCCCCCAGCTCGTCAGCCTTGCGCCGGGGCCCTGGAGTCGTTACCCGCGATGCTGGACTACGCCGTGATGCAGAGGTCCCAGTGCAGGCATTTCAGCATGACTTTCTGTGAGGACGGGAGCCGTTCAGTTTGCTTGAGCTGGCTTCAGCTCCGGTCCTTGAGGCCCCACCCTCTAGCCGTGGGGGGATCAGGCCCGTGTTCAACATTTAGGGTTAAATTTCAAAGCCTGGGGTGGGGGGAGAAGGGCTCACTCCACCTGCCTGGCCTTGCCCAGAGCACCTGCCTCTCTGGTGTGATGGAGGTGCCTCGACCAGGTCTGAAAATCAGGACCCTCAGACCCTCTGCTCTTGCTGCTGTCTTAGTGCTTTCAAGGGGAAATGCCAGCGTTGCTTAAGAAATGTCCCACTGGCTACGATGAAGAGTAGCCACGCCGGCAAGTCCATACGATTAGGGAAACCAGATGCTGATTAACACGAAAACAGGACGGATCTGCAGCGAGCAGCCGATTACCCAGGTGCATGGGATCCACCACTGGCGCCCACCCGGCAGAGCTCTCCCGGGGAGCTGCTGTGAAGGCCCCCATGTAGAGCAGCCCCGAAGTGGTCCTAGTTTGTCCCCTGGGGATGAACTGGTCCCTCGGTAACTGAAAGATTCAGGGCGGCGGTGATCTCCTGTGCTCATTCCCTGGCAGATGTGAACAGGTGAGGGCTCAGCCTGCGAGGTAGCAGAGGACGGGACCCAGGGAGCCAGGTCCCTGCGGGACCCAGAGCTTACGGGCCCTGAAGTCTATGCCGGGGAGACGTGCTATTGTTATTCTAATGTCTGTTTTATGGGCCAGATGTCTGGCCACAATTTTGCCTCCTCCCATCGTTGCCAGGGTAGGGGCTGGGGCTTGGGGAGCTTGCTAAATGCCACGGGGCTGCACGCGCTGCTCACAGAGGGTGCAACAGGTGCAAGAGCTCACAGTCAAGCCGGGGCCTGTTGAAATGCATGGCTGGGTCCGCTCGGGCTGGTTCAGTGCAGAAAGCAGGGGAGAAAAAATGCATGATTTTTAAGAGCTGCCATCTCAGACACAGCTGGGACTGCCCCGGGGGGCTCAAGAGATAAAAGCATCGGCTCCTGCAGCAGGAGCTCCAGACTTGAAGCTTCCCGGCTGGGAGCTGGAGCTGTGGATCCATCAGGCCCTTGTGGGGCACGTTCAACAGGGGTTCAGCTGTTCGGCTGTCACCGGGGCCACGTCAGGCCTCATCCCAAGCCCAGCGAAGACCGTGGATTGAGCAGGGCAGCGCGGGCAGGACACGAGCGCACGGTGCCTTTGCACCAGGGAGCCCAGACTCCCGACGGAGCCTGTGGGCACCGCTGCCAAGAAATCCATCCTCTCCCCGAGCGCTGGCAGGTCCTCGTGTTTATGAGAGGCGGTTGTGTCAGGCTGCAATCCTCGCCAGGGCCCGGGCCTTCGGAGAGCCGTCGCAGAGGGGGAAGGGAGGGCTGCTTTAACCACAGAAGCAAGCACAACACCCTACGTCACTGCCCTCGCTTCCTGGACACCGTAACCGCAGGGCACAGGAAGCACCTCCATAGCAGGGTGGAACCAGATCTGATGATCGGCTTGTTTAGGGGGCCTCGGCGCGGGCCGGGGTCTGTGCAAGCGCGACCGTGGCAAGCGCTGACGTGGGCGACGTCGAGAGCCCGGAGGTCACGCGGTGGCTAAACTGGCCGAGTCCAAGGGCACGGAGGCAGATTCCCAGTCTCAGACTGGAAGAGTTGAGTCTCCATCCTTTGCACCCCGCGCGGCTGCCTGCACTCGTGCCACCGGAGCGGCAGGGTTACATTTCACTGCCATGCGACACTGGCATCGACGGCAGTGCAAGAGGCAGGATGACGAATAACTGGGTGAAAGCAGTGGCGGGGATCAGGCCCACATTCAACATTTAAACTTCAAAGTCTGGGTTGGGAGAGGAGGGCTTGCTCCACCTGCCTGGCCTTGCCCAAAGCAGCCGCCCTGGCCTAGGTTGGTGGTGGCCCTGGCGTGGCCCTTTCCATCGCAAAGCTATAGGTGCTCAAGGCAGCCCAAGACAGGAAACACATGCCATTAAAACAGGGCCACAAGTCAACAGGGTTATTACCTGTGGTGAGGCCCACGTGAGAGTCATAGTGCAGCTCACCTTGGGAGAAACGGGGGCTGTGTACGAGGCAGTCCTGACTGGAGCTGCGTGGGGGAGCAGCTCCCCTGGGGAGCAGTAAAAGCCCCATCAGTGGAGACATTTGCAGCTCGACTGGATAAACCCCGGGGGATCACTACACTGAGGACAATCCTGGATCCCCTCTTCCCCTGCCCCCATGCACATCCCCCAACAGGCCCTTCCCTTCCCCACTATGCGGATCATGGGCTCCGGCACGAGGGCATCTAGGTGCATTTCAAAGGGTTCCCAGATCATGCCCCGAGCCGAAGCAGTGCTCAGACCTAAGACGGTGCTGTGGGCAGCACCTGCTTGCCCAGGGGAACAAGGTGGAAGAGGCTCAGCGGCTGGGCCTGAGAGCCGGAGCATCCAAGCCAGGCCGTGAGTCTCGGCAATGCTGCCAGCATCGGTCTGAGACCCTCACTAGCCTCCGCGACCCAGAGGCTCTGGCTACAAGGGGGTTTTTCTTGCTTCCATCTCCAGGCTTCCATTTCGAAACCAACAACGAGACGGACAAGCGGGAGTTCGAGAAAGCCGTGGAGACCATCGCCGTCTCCTTCAGCAGCACGTAGGTGAACCCCAGGCCCCTGCGGGCGGGAGGAGATCTCCGTCCCTGCTTTCCCCAAATCTTACCTTCCCCCGTTTCGAGACAGACCTCGCGTCCTTCCACTCTCCTCCCATGCACAAACGGCAGCTCCCAACTGGCATGTACTAGGACCCGAGAGAGACGTGCACACACGCACATAAAGTTGCAAGCTCCTAGGTATTGCCCAGCAGGGATTTCGATTCATTCCTTACCTTGGGGCACTTGAGATGCCACTGAAATGAGCTGGGCCAGTCCTACTGGGCAGGACCTATAAGCTATCTCTGTCTGCTGCTATCCCGCGCAGCCCTGTCCGGTTGGCTGAGTTGTTCATCCTCATCCTCACTGTTGGGGCTAAATCCCCCAGGGCTGATCCTATCGCTGAAGTCAACAGGAACACTCCAGTCGATAGGCAGATGCAGGCCCCGGGTCCGGGTCCCCGGCGGACCCCATGGACCGCTATGGGATTGCCTTCTGCTCTGTAGTCAGCGGTGCTGACTCGCCGTCTCTTGCCTGTCCCTCCAGGGTGTCGGAGTTTCTCATGGGGGAGGTGGACAGCAGCACCCTCCTCTCCATACCTCCCTGGGACCAGAATCAGGTGAGTGATGCTCTGATGTGGGCCTCGAGCTGTTGCTGGGGGACGGAAAATTGCACCCCTGCAGCACCTGTGCTCAGAAACCCCAACCAGGCTCTGGTTGCCCCCCAAACTGTGCACGGTCTCCGCTCAGGAACAAGTACGGGCAACGAACCCGGAGGATGGGTCTTCCCGGCTATACCTGTAGAACGTGGGCAGGACCAGGTGGGGAACCCCACGTGGGCTCTGCCTCCTCGACCAGGGAGGACGAGAGTAGGAGGCACGTGGTGCTGGGGGCGGCAGAAGTGCTGCAGGTAGAAAAGCAGCGGTGGGATCTCATGGACACAGGCACACTGGTGGCTCTGCTCCTGATCTGCTCCGCGCACGGCCCTTATCCAGGGCTGCCGCGTGTTTGCAGAGGCCTTCACGCTGCACTTGGCAGCTCAAGACATCTGCTCCCCTCTGGACTCCCCACGGGGTCCTCCTCCAAGCCTGTTCCTGGTTGTCCCCTCTTCTCCTTCTCCAATGAGCTCCTTTTCTGGCAGTCTATAGAGAACCTCTATGGGATCCCTGGGCACGGTGGAGAGGACACACTCCCTGGCATCGGAAACTATGACTCAGGTAAGCAGATGCCCCCTTATCTGCCACAGCTGGCTGCAGAGGTAAAGCGTGCAATATGCAGTGAAGCCCGGGCACCCTGTGAGCATCCTCCGTGCCCGCTGGACGACGTGCTTGTTTCAAATGGCACCAATGCGCTCAGACAATCACAGAGCAGTGGGGCTGGAAGGGAGCTGCAGAGGTCCTATCTAGGCCAACCCCCTGCCTGAGGCAGGATCAGCCCTGTGCAAACCATCCCGGACAAATCCATCATCTAGCCTCGTACTAAAACTACCACCAACCCTGACACAACACAAGACATCACACCCGAACCTGCCACAGGTAAAGCCAGGGGACCACGGCAGCCAAGAGCCTGCTTCTATAAAAGATGGCTAATATACATGCATGAGACCCCAAGTAGAGGCTGTGCCCCTGCTACAGAGGAAGGCAACCCCCAGTCCTTACCAATCTGACCAGGGGGTAAAATTCCTTCCTGACCCCAAATGTGGTGATCGGTCTGACCCTGAGCAGAGGAGCCAGGAACCTCTGACTTTAAATCCCAGCATTGGCACAGCCCAGTCGCCATCCCTAATGAGTCCCTCCTCCAGTCCCATCATCCTCTTTCTCCCTGGGTCACAGGCCGTCTGTCTGCGGAGGAGGTGGACATCATACTCCAGAAGTGCGAGGGTGGAGTTGATGCTGCCCTCCAGTATGCCAAAAACATCTCCAAGTACATGAAGGACCTCATGTACTACCTAGAGAAGAGGACCACGCTGGGTGAGTGGGTAGCCGACGTGTCGAGTCCCCAAACATGATCATGGGCTGCAATGCCAGTCCTTTTGCATGCTCCTAGGGGCTTGGGGCTGGGTCCTAGAAAAGAGCTGCCCACAGAAGGCAGGTGGAGGGCTCTGTGCATGCTGCCATTTCTGGGTAGTGCTTCAAGAACTGATGCACCATCTTCCCCAAAGCAATTCTCCAGCAGGGCGCATCCCTTGGTTTCACAGCCATTGTTGCTTCCTTCCCTTCTCTTCCAGAACTGGAGTTTGCCAAAGGGCTGCAGAAGGTGGTCAACAGCTGTAAGCAAACCATCGCTCAGGAGGTAGGTGTCCCCACGCCACCTGTGCCCATCAAGGCCACACCTGTGCCCAGCAGCCAGAAACATCTCCCTTCCCCTCCTGCACGGGTCTGCAGCCTCTGGAGGGCTCGATAACCAGCTGGGGTGGGTTTTTCAGAAGCCCTGGGAAGCAGGCATGGAGTTAGGCCAAGCCACCAACTGAGCTGAAGCCGGGCCAACACTGAGCCCTCCCAGAAAAGTCCCGTACCCCTCTTAATGTCTGAGCATCCTCCCTCGCTGGCAAACTCCAATGCCCCACTGCAGCACTGCAGCGCTCAGCACCCCCAGGCAGACACAAAGCGGTGTCAACGTGCAGGGGAAGAGGTTACTGCCCATGGTTACGTAACGCAGCAAACCCGCGATAATGCTTCAGCTTGCAAGGTCTAGCACGTCAAGCTTAGATCTTCTGACTTTCCCGCTGCTTCAGCTCATAGGGGTTGATGCACTGATACTTAAATCTAGTGCCAGGCTTCAGCCCACAGCACCCAAGTGGTGTTTGCCTCCCACTCCCCTCCACCCACACACAGCTGCAAGCGCTTGCCTGGCCTAGGGCTCTGCCCAGCTGCTGTTGTGCTGACCCTGTGGTCCTTTTCTAGTCGTATATGCCGTTCCTGTCCATCTACTCGCTGGCTCTGGAGCAGGACATGGAGTATGGCATCTCGACTGTGCAAGCTGCAGCCACCTTGCAAAACCATACCTTCTTGCAGGTAAGAGGAACGCACATGTACCCCCGCCCCGGTGCAAAGAGGCAGAGCAAGCCCTTGGTTTTGCTCTTTGGTCTGCACAGGACACATGGTGCATTCGTGTTCCTGACTTAGAAAGAGGAAGTGCCATTTGAGAACAGGCCCTCCCCGCCCCAAGACTGTTGCAGTAGAAATGCGGCTTCGGGGTCCCCATGCGCAGGGACCCATCCAAACCCCAGGTGCTGCACACAGGGGTTTCGCTTACCCCCAGCATGGGGAACCTGCAGCAGCCCCCTCCCCAGGACTTATAAAACCACGTGTGCTGCCCAGCTGGACTGATATAAACCAGCCACAAAGTTATTACACGTTATATGTGGAACTACTGTGTGGCTTGTTTACTGTACTATCAGGCCCTAAATTTGACTACCCATGTGGCTGGGTTACTAGTTAAGGGGCAATAATGGTGTCTCAAATGTAGCATGTTTCAGAGGCCTCGGGATGTATTTGGCTTACTGCACTGAATTGGACGTGAGCTGGAGCCAGAGCAACTCATCCACCGTCCTGGTTTCCGGGGTGTTTGGATAAAGGGTCTGGCTCTTGGATAACACCATCCAAGGTTCAGGAAAACCAACCACCGTCCTCCAGCCCCACTCAGAGCCTGCACATTTTCCCTTTCGTTTAGACACGGTTTCACACATTGATCACCCGTAGAAAGCTGCCCAGCTGAGGCTGTGCGCCAGCTCCAGTGAACTGATGCATTTGCTGAGAGCCGTCCTAAGTGAAACCGCATTTGGCATCCACTGAACTTGCAACTCTTTGTCCAGAGCGCAAAGCCACCCCATAGCTGGGCACAACTGGCATTAGTGACTTGACAGCACTGCTCAGTGGTCGATGTCCGAGCCCTTTTACAAAAGAGAGAAGCATCCCCTTGCTCTGACCCCTAATAACCTTAGCTGCAAACCACTTTGGGGTTCCTCCTTCTTCCTCCAGCCGCTAACCATGAGGCGCCTTGAACATGAAAAACGACGGAAGGACATTAAGGAGCAGTGGCATCGGGCTCAGAGAAAGCTGGTAGGTGCTACAGAGCCGGGCTGTGCCAGGGGTTGTGTCGCGGTGGCAGCTGGGCAGGGGCCCCTCTGACCGTGCTGTCAGACTCCCGAGTCCTTAGCATTGGCTTTAGAAACAAGCACACGTTGCTGGCCCCGGGCCCGTGAGCACAAAGAGACAGGCTCTGCCCCGATGAGCTAGTGGTCTAAGCCTCCTCCTCTGCTGGCTAGCTCCTAGCCGTGTCTGCATGGAGCGTGGGAGTACTCAGCTCTGCTGCGGTTCTCGAGGGGGGGGTCTCTCTGCCCGGCTGGACCAGGTGAGGGTGAGGAAGCGGGAGGATTTCACGGCTTCCATTTTTCGCCCGGCAGCAAGAGGCAGAAGCCAACCTGCGCAAGGCCAAGCAGATGTACAATCAGCGCTGCGAGGAGCACGACAAGGCCAAGCACGTGACAGTGAAGGCTGAGGAGGAGCAGCAGAGCACCAGCAGCAGCACGGCCACCAAGACCCTGGACAAGAAGAGGCGGCTGGAGGAGGAGGCCAAGAACAAGGTGAGGGGCGCTCGGAGGATGTCTCTCGCTATCCTGGGATGGAGCTCCCCTCTCGTCTCGCTCGAGGGGCAGAGGAGGTCAGGTCCTCTGTCCGGGCCGTGCCACGGAGAAGTTCTCACCTCCCGCTGTCCCCTGGGGCTTTCAGGCCGAGGAGGCGCAGGCCACGTACCGGACCTGCATCGCTGACGCCAACACGCAGAAGCAGGAACTGGAGGACACCAAGGTGAACGTGCTGCGGCAGATCCACGAAGTCATTAAGCAGAGCGACCAGGTCATCAAATCGGTGAGCAGGGCTTGCTGCACTGCCATGATGGCAGGGACAGAGCGGGGGGGTGGGCGAGGCTAGGAGTGCTGGAGGCAGTGGTGGCGCAGGGGGCAGGGGGGGGCCGGGGGGGGGGGGGCCCCCCCCCCTGCCACACATGGCGCTCTGGGAAGTCAAAATCTTCCCAGCTGTCCACAGCTGGGACGACGGCGGCTGCTTCTGAGGTTAGCACAGAGGAAGAGCTGCTTCCAATCCCTCTGGCTCTTCCAAGCCAGGCCTCGACTCGAGATGCAACGTGGCAAGCTGTGTCCCAGGTTTCTTGTTTCATGTCTCCCTAGCTCTAGCAGGCAGGGTCTCGGGGCTGCTCTGCCCAGAATCGCTCCTGAGCCCCTCTCTGACCCTCCCTCCATCTGTGTCCCTTTCAGGCCACCATCTCCTTCTACCAGCTCATGCACATGCAGACGGCTGCCCTACCCGTCTACTTCCAGACACTGTGCGAGAGCAGCAAGCTGTACGACCCCGGGCAGCAGTACGCCTCCCACGTCAAGCAGCTGCAGCGGGGAGACGAGCCTGAGACCCTGTATGACTTCGAGCCCTACGTGCCACAGAGCGCCTGGTAAGGCAGCCAGAGCCTTAGCACGGGGTCTGTGCCAGAGAGCCTCCACCACCGCCCGGGACCCTTTCTCTTGGGCAGGGGTACTAAGCACCTTGTCAACTTGGAGAGAGCTCTTATGATGGGAAACACATGCTGGGTAACTGGATTCTCCCCCTCCAAGCCAGCATCCACACCTGCCCCTTGCAGAAACTCCAACTGGGGAAGCCCAGGACAGGACTATCTGGAAGCTCCCGGTGCTGCCCCAGCCCCCTCAGTTCCCCCGCTCCAATATACCTGCTCATCCCAGGTTCAACGTGGACTGGGGGTGGTGAAGCCAACTGGTGAGGCAGGCTATTGGGTATTCAGGATAGAGGGCAGATAAGTGAGTCCTTCCCAAGTGCCTCTTTCCTCTCCCCTCTACTGGAATGATCCCTTCTGTCTTCTTCCTGCCCCTTAGGTCGCCCTTCGCTCGGGCACGGAAAGGCAGCTTCAATGCCAGCGACTTTGCAAGCAGCAGCGTGGATGGGGCTTCTCCCTCCAAAGATACGGGCATCCCCGAGGGAGGTGCAGCGGCCAAGGAGCAGCACGGTGGGGCGGTGCACGTCGAGCGGAGAGGTGAGCTGCTGCCAGGGGTCTCACGTGGTATCGTCTCCAGCAGGCTGGAGCTGAGCACAGTCACTCTATTGCAGCTCCCCCTCAACTCTGAGGCAGAGGACTGGAAAGTAAGATCCCAAGTGATCATCACACAGGAATGGGTCCAAGGCCAAGTGTGATATATATTGTGGAGGAGCTGGGGAAGAGACGTTGCCAGCCTCATTTCCTAAAGGATACAGGCTTTTTGGTCTATCATCCCTCTGTTTGTTCATGTCCAGCAGACCTGTGGTCTTTCTAGCCCAATCTTGGGTCTCCAAGTGTAGCACACAATGCGTGGGTTGGAGAAGGCATCGCCATCCCTCCATCTACCCTATGGTGTTGGTGCTGTCGGATAGGAATAGGTCTTCCTTACCCTGGCCCCTTGCAAGCTGCTGCCCTGAAGGACTAGGAGCTCTTGTGCATCTTGTGAACGAGTGTCAATGCAGAACCATGTGGACTCTGCTATCGGGGCCATTTCTTGATCCAGTTGCTCGGAAAGGGGTCGGTCGACAGCCGGTTTGCCCTTTCCGCACCTAGGACTTGAGAACGTGCTCTCGTGCACTGCAATACTCAGCCTGGTCCTGGGCTCCCATGGGTTGTTTCCACGAATCCAGTAAATGGCATCTAATGTATGAAGCGGCTTGCTTTGCAGGTGGACGGGGACACCAGGTCCATAAATCTTGGCCGACATCCATCGTTGAAACCGAAGGCGGCCTGGATTCAAGCTCAGGTAGAGTATCCTGGCAGCTGGGGAGCGGAGAATGGGGCAAGGCGTTTGGGCGTGGGAAATGCACCCATCTCCCTGGAAGAGAGCTGGCTTGCCTAATCATCCCTCGCGGGTCGTGTTCTGCAGGTGAATTCAGCCGGAAGTTGCAGCGGTTGTCTTCCAACGGCACCGTGTCCTCCAGCGAAGAGCTGGAAGAGAAGGACGAGAACGCAGCCTCGTTTGAACAGAGTGCGTGATGGGGCGGGAGAGGCAAACAAAACCCCCCAGCTTCCAACCCCAGGAGCTGGCATGCAGCGAGGCGCTGAAGAGTCAGCTGGTGGGAGCTCTTCCAGAGCTGCTTCCTCTTTCCTTATTACCTTGCGGAAACCCTGGCTGGCCTGCCCTACAGCTAAGCCTGCACGCGGGGCTGTTGGCCATTAAGTCAATAGAGAGTTGGCTATGAGACAACCTGGGGGCACCTTTTTTTTCCCCCCTCCTGAAGTTGGAGGGGAGCACAGAGAACTTGAGCAAGGGCTTCTTTGCAGCTGGGATTCTCCATGTGTCCTTACGCATGGGAAACACTCATGAATTTCAAGTGGAGGAAGGAGCAGGTTGTCTGCCCCAGCAGAAGTGCATAAACCCTCAGCACGAGGAAGCCCAAGCACTCTGCTTTTAACATAAAATGTAATCGCTGAACCCAGCCAAGGGAAAAGCAGCAACCTTCAATTAACTGGGGCGTGCGTTATTGAGCTCTGACAAGCTGAGAACCGAGGGGTGACGTTAAAAAGCAAACACGATATTATTTTATCTTAATACAAAGTCTCCCATCTCAAAATGCTCCCAAGTTATGGAAAAAAAGCTTGGCTAAAATGCAGTCACCCGTGAGTGACCGGCTGTGGCAGCTGGTCCGTCGCACCGAAGAGGAGGGGAGGAGGGTTGGCTGAGGGTGCCGAGCCCAAGCCCGTCAGTCTCTCGGGATTGTTTAACGTTCAGATAGATAAGATAGGTGTAAGGCCATCTCCAAAAACAATCCATTGCCGAGCAGACCTAGAAGGATGCTGGGCTTTGAGCCAGTCGCTCCAGACACTCCTGTGCAAACCATCTCCCCAGCTAGGACGATAATGAACGTGAACGAGGGGCCCCAGTACCGTGGAGCTGATGGGAAAAACCCGAGCAGCCACGTGCTGTTTGCTTTCAGGAATCTCCTAGCGTCACGCCACGGAGATGTGAAAGTCCCTACACCTAAATGAAAGGCATGACTGGCTTGTAGCATCACCGAGGGGCCCGGGCATGGCTGGGGGGGGCCTGCTCTCACTGCCTTCGCTTCTCGGGGTGAGGACAGATTTGGAGGGATCTGTTTCTGTTCTGCTTCCAGGCATCAACGGGATCACCCCGGAAATGACGACTCCCACGGGCCCCTTCCGAAACATGGGCTTATCCAAGGCTGCCCAGACTCATCGGCTGAGAAAGCTCCGCACCCCGTCCAAATGCCGGGAATGCAACAGCTACGTGTACTTCCAGGGGGCAGAGTGTGAGGAGGTAAGGGAGAGGGAAGAGAAGGGGGCTGCAGCCACGGGGGCTGGCACTCAGGTGCCCGCAACCAAATCTGTGCATGGTAGAGGTGGCATCAGCCCTTCATCCCACTCCGTCATCAGCCTCTGGCTCCACAGCTCTGCAGACGAGGAGGAACCACTGCGCTTCTGCAGTTGATGTCGCTTTTATGAGCCCAAGGTGCAGACACAAGCAGGGGCTCGGACATGCAAGGGAAAAGCAGCAAATGCAGGTTGAGCCTGCAAAAAACGGGTGTCCGAGGAAGCCCCTGCTGTCGAGAGAGCTGCCGCTTAGCCAGTTCCCTGGCGCAGGGACAGGTCTGGGGACAATGCCCCGGAGAGGTTTTGCTGGGTTCTTACAGAAAACCCGGGGGAGCGTTTCAGAGCCACATGCTCTTGCTCTTGTACGACGGCTCCTCTCACGACAGCTGGCAAGCATCTCTTTGGGAAGGTCTTTCTGATGTCCCCGAGGGGGGGACTTCTGTCTGGCCACACGGCCAAGTGCAGCACTTCTTAAATGCCAAAGCCAGCCCCACTGCCTGAAGCTTTTCCTCTCCGGGTCGGGGTGGGGGGGGGACACGCCTTCCTGTCTTTCTCCAACCATCTTCCTGCCCATTCCAGTGCTATTTGGCTTGCCACAAGAAGTGTCTGGAGACCTTGGCCATCCAGTGTGGACACAAGAAACTCCAAGGGAAGCTGCAGCTCTTCGGCCAGGACTTCACGCAGGCTTTGCGCAGCAACTCGGATGGCATCCCCTTCATCATCAAGAAGTGCATCTCCGAGATTGAGAAGCGGGCTCTGAAGACCAAGGTGGGCGCCTCTTCTCTGCCCGTGCTCGATTCTCGTCTCCTGGGCTGAGCTGGGTAGCTCCACATGTGGGTGGCCAGTGCCTCGGGGTCACTGCATGGAGCTCCTCTCTCGGTAATGGTGGAGCAGAGTCTGCATTTCACAGCAGAGCTATCAGTCTCTTCCTAGTGGGCTGGGAGCCAGGAATACTTGCTTGATAAGTCACCTTGGCTCTGACAATGCCTACCTGTAGTCCCAGACAAGTCACCTCCCCTCCCTGCCTCAGTTTCCCCTCTGTGACGGAGTAATGGCGGCGGCAGGTGACTGCAATCACTTGGAACCTAAATATGAGGCCATAAAACTGCTGCTTTATATCAGTCAGTGGAGGAACATCCCTCCCTCCCAGGCTTTTACCCCTGTTATTATCTCCTCCTTGCAGGGCATCTACCGGGTCAATGGCGTGAAGACACGTGTGGAGAAGCTTTGCCAGGCATTTGAGAACGGGAAGGAGCTGGTGGAGCTGTCCCAAGCCTCCCCGCATGACATCAGCAATGTCCTGAAGCTCTACCTGCGACAGGTAAGAAGCCAGGGGCTGCTGGGGATCCCCTCCGCAGAGGAGGAGATGGGGGAAACCTCCCAAGAAAGTCTCCCGCACCAAGCCCCACTGAGCGACCTGTGGCAGGAGAAGGAGCGCGGACGAACACTGGTGTTAAAATCCATGAGCTGCACGGCTCATGGCAGTGGCAGTGACCTTAGGTCTCCGCCGGCCTGCAGAGCTTGGTGACTTAAAGCAGTGTGGACAACTCTTAGGCTGTTATCGTGGTTTTTCAGCTCCTGAAAAAGGAGATGACCCTGGAATCTCAGCTTCTGTTAGGAAAGGCAAGAATCGAGCCTTGTCGGCTGCTGAGAAGAGCCCAGAAGAGGGGCCCCAGCTTGTCTGGCCAGTGGGTTGCAGGCAGCTTCGCGGGTGCTGAAGAAATGAGCACCCGAGGAAAGCTTCACCTGCGGTTGCAAAATCCTCAGGCCTAGACGGCGTCCCTCCAGATCAGTTAGACGCTCGTAAGGGTGGAGGGGGGCTGCTCTTCCCCTGCGGGAATCACAGGTTTTGTTCTCCATCCGGGCCTGTGAACCCAGTGCTGACGGCACCCAGCCAGTCTGGCTAGGGAAGTGCTTTGTATCTCACTCCTGCGCCCGCTGCTGTAGCTTCTTTGTTCGTCCAAGGCATTTCTCCTCCCAGCCCCCCGGGGAGGTGGGGAAGTAGGATCCTCATTCTGCAGTGGCTGGGTGCAGCGGCGGCTGCAGAGGCAGGGTGTCGAACCCAGTTCTTCTGTCCAGGGCCATCGCTGCACGGGCAGCCCCAGCAGGAACGGCTGCTGCTGGTATCTCGGTGCTCACAGAGGTCTGTGCCTTCAGCCCAGGTGCTAGTGAGTGAAACCGGCACTGCAAACTGCGGCCCACAACCCCAAACACACACCGCAGGGCAGGAAAAGAGGAAGCAGCTTCTCTCACTCGTTTTTTAAGTCAGGCTTTGGCGCCCTGCACCTTAACTATTTCGCGACTCGCCTCTTTAAGGACCGCCACAAAAGGGGCCAGTGTGGCGACTCGGTGGGGCTCCTTGCACGGCGGCGGAGTTACGGATTCGCGAACCGAGAATCTGGCCTGTGATCTCTATGGCAAGGCAGCAAGGGAGCAAAGCACAGCAGCGAGGAAGGAGCAGACCAGTGCCAGGCCCCGAGCACCTGGCTACTGATGTCCCCAAACTAGTTATGGAAATGTCGGGCTGCAAAGGACCGCAGGGGGTTACCCGGTCTGTCCCCTGCCCTGAGCCAGAACCAAGGCTACCTCGATCTTTGCTTGGCCTGCTCTTAACCCCCCTGCATTGATGGGGGTCCAACATACCTAGCCCTTTGTAATGCTTAATGAGCCTCAGAGTTGTCCTGCTAACTGAAATGATCTTTGCTTCAAATGAACATGGAGAACAACAGCTCGCTTCCTCTTTGTATCACCCTCTTACAGACTTGCAGATCTGTGGTGATTCCCCTTGGTCTTTTTTCTAGATAAAGCCCGTTCAGTTCCTTCGGGCTTGCCACACACGTCATGTTTTCCAAGCCCTTTGTGTTTTGGGTGCTTATGTCTGGACTTCCTGATTTCTCTTTCCGTGTCGCAGAGCGTGGTGCTCACACTCAGCCAGGTCCTTCGACAGCCCCACAACCCACCTCCTGCCAGCGACCCTCCTCCGAACACAATGCAGAACGAGATCCGTCCTTTTGGCAACGGCATCACACTGGGGACTTGTTCAGCCCGCGGTCCCCTGGAAAACTTTCAGATCCTTTCTGTGGTACAGCTGTGCAGCCAGTTACTTCCCATTTTTTGCATGAGAGCAGTTGATTTCCCCTTTCTTGGCATGTGCTGCACTTGTCTTTGTTCAATGTCCTCGTGTTGATCTTGGACTTTCTCCCATGTATCGGGATCGTTTTGAATTCTGTTGTCCAGCGCGCTTCCATCCACAAATAGCAGGGGCGGGGGGTCATCCACAAACAAGCCCCTGGGAGGCAAGTCCCAGAGTCTACCCGGCCTCGGGCTGAGCTGGCAGCAGTGCCGCATGCCCTCTTGCCTGCGCAAGCGGGGCTGAGGGTTGGTGCAGTACATGCCTGCCAGATCCCCGCAAAATACGTTGACTTTGTGACCGACCGGAGCAGACATCCAAACCTCGGTTGCAAGCGAACTGCAGAAATGCAGGCTGGGTCCTGATGGAAGCACCGAGCTGATCTGGATCCCTGCGGGACCCCACCTGAAAGGCCTTCCCATTTTGACAGCAAGTCACTAATACCACGCTCTAAGCGCGGGTTTTCAACCAGTCGGGTGGCTTCATCTATACCCTGCTGCCCTAGTTTGCTTAGGAGAACCTCATGGGGGGCATTGACAAAAGCCTTCCTAAAATCAAGATATATCACATCCACTCTTCCCCCCCGCCCCATCCATACGCCAAGTTCCCCCTCAAAGAAGGGAATAATATTGGCTTGACATCATTTGCTATTGACAAATCCATGCTAGCCGCCTTCTATCACCTGATTATCCACGTGGTGCTTTCAAATAGCTGTGTCCTAGTATCTTTCCAGACTGAAGTTAGCCTGACTTATCTATGATTCCCTGGGTCCTCTTTTCCCCTGTTTAAAGACAGGAGCTATGCTTACCTTTCTCCAGTCCTCCAGGACTCATCCAAAACACTTGCTGTCATTGGAGATGGGTTTGGCCAGCTCCTAATGCTTTCTAGAGAGAAGTTCACATCAGGCCCTTGCTGCCGTGAATACATCTGACTTATTTAGATAAGTTCCCGGGGCAGGAATTTGCCTGTTCTGATTTCGGCTTGCTGCAGAGACTGTCTCGGAGGATGAAGGTTTGAGGCATTAAAGACACCCTGGACGCAGACTCTGGAATCCCAGCCGGGCTGGCACTGACTTTCATTCCTCCAAGATAAACTGAGATTTGGGCAGTTTGCAAACCAAGAACCTGTCTGCTCCACGGGGACATTCAACGCCACGCAAAGAGGGCCTTGGCATCCGCACTGCGCAGCACGCTGCAGGCCCAGCCTCAGAGATGGCTACGGCTGGCGGGAGGAAGGTGTGGGTTAAATGGAAAGACCAAACGGCAAGATGAAGCTGAGCTGTGCATCGCACCACTGAAAGTTGGGCTCTGGAATAAGAGAGGGCTCAGCATACTGGGATGCAGGCAGGGAGGCCTTTTTCTTTCCTTCCCCTCTCCGGTGGGATCTGGGATGCTTGCTAGCCATAGAAGTGAAGACGCCTTGGCTGAGGAAGGTGGAAGGGTTTTGATGCTCAGGCCCAAGCTGGGGTTTCTGAGATCAGGGGGCTCTTGCGATACCAACCCTACTCGACAGCTTTGGCTGGCTGCGCAGCCCATACCATGCCCATTTGCTTTGACGAGGCCATCTCCCTTCTGCTCTTTTTGCAGCTGCCGGAGCCCATCATGCCCTTCCGCCTGTACAACGCGCTCATGGGGCTGGCCAAGGAAAGCCTGCAAGGCGGGGCCGAGGCCAAGGGCAAAAGCGGGAAGGGGGGGCCCGAGCTGGTGGACAAAGGCACCGACACCGACAAGGTGGTCATCACCCTGGTGCTCAAACTGAAGGAGCTGCTGAAGGAGCTTCCCCGGGAGAACATGGCCACGCTGCAGTACATCGTGAAACACCTGTGCAGGTGCGGGGGCGTGGGGGCTGCCGGGAGGGCGGCGGGGACTGGGCAGAACGTGCAAGGCCCTGGCTCCCCGTCCCTATCATGGGAGGGTTCAGGTCAGCCTCTCCCCAGGGCAGAAGGTGGGCGTTTCATAGAATCACAGAAAATTAGTGTTGAAGGGACCTCAGGGGGTCACATCTACCCTAACCCCTGCTCCGAGCAGGACCAGCCCCAACTACATCACCCCAGCCAAGGCTTTGTCTAGCCGGGGCTTGAAAACCTCCAAGGACGGAGACCCCCCCACCTCTCTGGGGAGCCTGCTCCAGTCCTTTACTACCCTCCTCGGGAGAGTTTTTCCTAATATCCAGCCTCAGCCTCCTTGTTGCAACTGAGCCCATTGCTCCTTCTGTCATCTGCCCCCACTGAGGACAGTCCAGCTCCATCCTCTTTGCAGCCCCGCTGCAGGGAGGTGAAGGCTGCTATTCATTCCCCCTCGGTCTTCTTTCCACTGGCCAAATCAGTCCAGTTCCCTTAGCCTCTCTTAGTCAGACAGGATGATTTGTGGGGGGAGGCATGATTGTGGCGACTTCTGTCCCCCAAGGATGTGGATTCCTGTAGTATCAGCAGAGCATCTCCTCCCCGGAGTCCCCCGGATGTGCAAGCTCAGTCTGTCCATCTGTGTCCTCCAGGCCCTTCTCCCCACACCATTACATCATGAACAAGCCTCTTTTTGTCTTCTCTGTCTGCTTCAGGATTGTGGAAGTGGAGCAGGACAACAAGATGACCTCAGGCAACCTGGGCATTGTCTTTGGGCCCACGCTGATGCGCCCAAGGCCCACCGAGGCCACCATTTCCCTGTCCTCGCTGGTCGATTATCCCCACCAAGCCCGCATCATCGAGGCCCTCATCATCTTCTACGCAACCATCTTTGAGACCACCGACGCCAAGCTGCTGCCCGATTCCAGCAAAAGGGCTGAGGATGCCAAAGAGGATGGGGCCAAGGTAGGAGTCCCTGGGGGAACGTAGAGGGAGATATACCAGGTGCTTAAGGGAAGGAGGCCAGAATAACTGTTCTGCAATAGCAGCTGCTCTTGTTCTACACCGAGGGTCTTCGTGTGGCTGAGCTTAATCCACTTGGTGAATTCACACCTCCTCACATTGCATGGTGCCTTCCCTGGGTAGACAGGACAGAAAGGATGAGAGCGAGGAGGGGTGGAGAGTGCATCATTAATTAGCGGCACGGAGGGAAGCGGCAGCCAGAGCCCTGTGGAAGGAGCAGAGCCCCACGGCAGGCGAGCCATGTTGCACAGAGCCAGGCCACGACAGCCGAGCCATGTTGCACAGAGCCAGGAGATTTGCCCCCCACACACACGACCTGCCCTATTTCAACTGCCCCTTCTTCTCACCTCCTACCATTTACCCCCTTTCCTTCCCTCCCAGGACGATGCGGTTTCACTGGCTGCAGCTCCGCAAGGCAGCGGCCCCTACCTCGAACTGCCCTCGGAGAAGGGGGATTCTGATTACAACGCGGACTCGTACGGAGGTGAGTGCAAGCCGTAGGTAGCCCCGGTCCTGCAACCCCCGCATACAGAAGCAGCTCATGCTGCTTCAACCTGTGCTATATCTGTCCTGCTGTAAGTCCCCAGTCCCACTGATCTGCATCTTTCATTGGTGGGGGTGGGCTTCTTACATTGCCCAGTACAGACCTGCCATCACTGGTCTTGGCTCGACCCCTCACCCCAGTTCTCCCAGCCACAGGCTCAGCTGGGCTCTCACTTCCATCACTCACTTGAGCTGCGTGCTTTTGATGCTACGGGGAAAAACCTCACTGGGATGCACTGCAGCCAACAGGGCCCAGTTCCAAAGGCTCACCTTTATGGGCGGATACACAGAAATCCACGGGCAGGGAGAGGCTCCATTGCACCAAGGTCTTGCTACTCCCACAGCCTTGGGCAGGAGCGTGATCAATTGTGTGTGTCCCCTAGAAACCGCCGATCGCTCCATAGACTCCGACTCCGAGCTGGAAGAGGGTGGGGAGCCGCTGGCCTCGGGCGAGGACGCCCCCCGGCACCCGCTGGTGACGCAAGGCAGCGAGACGAGCGCGGACGAGGCTCACTCCTGCGACGACCTGAGCGAGGGGCAGCGGAGCAGGACCTGTAGCACGGGGCAGTGGGACGCGGAGTGCGCCGCCTCTCGCCAGCGCGGCTCGCCGGGGGAAGAGCAGAGCGACCTGGAAGAGGACTCCGGGCCAGAGAGGGAGGGCGGCGCGAGACCGCTCTCTGACTATAACACAAACCAGTCCAACAACAAGCCGCTGGCCCGTTGCAGCCTGGGGCACGGGGGGCTGCCCACCATTCGGCTACGGGACGGCAAGTTGGTTGTGAGGTCAGCCAGCGAACGGCAGCCCAGATTTGTCTAGGCCGCCAAGCTAAAGCCACGCGATAGACACTGGGGGAGGGCAGCTGAGCAGGAGCTCCCCACCGGCAGCTAAGCCACAGGCATGGCTGTGTACAGTCGGAGAAGAGAAGGGGCTATGGCAGAGCTGTGCCTCAGGCAGCTCACACGGGTTTTGTATGCTGGCTGCAGACCAAATGACTGAAACGTCCATACAAACCCCCCGAGGCACTTGACTTTCTGCAGGACTTTGCCAGAACTGCAGGTGGACAACTGCATCCAAGCAGGATATCCTCTTGCAAGGAGCCCCGCGGAGCTCGATATTATCTTGCTACACTGGACTGTAAAGGGATCGTGACTTGGCTGTACCCATCTGAGCTGCCAGGCGGGGTTTCCTGTCTTCCCGTTCCCCAACCTCATGCCTTTATTTAAACCGTTCTGCGAGGAAAGAGCTATTCAAGTACCTGACCCACCTACATCACTGCGGTTGCCACAGGTGGTGCTGGGAGAGATTGCCAGTAACACCGCCGACCAGGAAGAAGCTGAAGGGACAACCTGCTGGGAGAGAGCACTGCCTCCTTCCCGCTCATCAAGACAACAAGAGCTAGCATTTTATATTTATACAGCATCTAGGATCCTTCAACGCTCAGTACAGCAGCCCTGTGCACCAGGCAGGGTGGCAGAGGACAGACACCAGGCCACACAGCACCATGAGGAGCAGAGACAGCTCTGGACAAACTTATACCCCAGCTTCTCAGAGAGGACTTCCAAGTTTCCAAAGGTCTTGAGAATTGATGCAGTATATTCCTGCCAGATCCCGTCGAAATACATGGACTCTGGGACCAACTGGAGCAGACATCCAAATCTCCGCTGCAAGTGAGCCGCAGGAATCTTGGCACTTCCTTGCAACACAGGAGATAAACAGCGACATACCTTTTTTGAAAAGTTTGCCCGTTGCTTTTATTTATGGGCAATCTATGCTTGTCCAGAGCACAGGAGCTGTAAGCTGCTCGTAACTCAAGAGCTGAGAGTTACCCGAGGGGGTGTCACGGCCAGTCACGCTGTCCACGGGGCAGTTCCTGAGAGATCCCAGACACGTTTCAGTCCTTTGCATAGTTTATTTTACGGGCACCTGGTCTCCTAATCTCAAATGGTCCAAAAGAGACTTGAGGTGTAGCTTCACAATAGAAGAAAGGGCGGCTACAGCTCTGCGAAAATCCCAGACGTGGGCACTGCCACGGCTGCAGGCCCCTGCACTGAAGTTGGGCGACTTGCTCTCTCGTCCTAAGCCTAGAGCTGCCATGGCTGGCAGGGAGCGCTGGCACCTTCCAGCGGAGAAGACGCTGGAGCGTCCAGCGCCACTGCTCACAACGTTAAAACGGAGCCCAGGAAAGACGGCTCTGCAGGGAAGGAGCAGCGGCAACCAGACTGGGACGAGCTCTAAACAACGGAGCTGAAAACAGTTTCCTTTGAGCAGCTGCACTAATGGCTTCTGCTTTCTTCTGGCAAGCACTGGGAGCAGGGAGCAGCGCAGGCAAGGGAGCAGGGGGTCTGCGACAGCCTCAGAGCCCTCTCAAAGCAAATAGGCCAGTGTAAGATGTGGGAAACCAGAGAACGGAGGTCGCCCCTGCAGCCTCTCCGTCTGCTGCATGCTAGCTTCAAGCAGAGCCCCCTGCTGCAATTTTGCCTCCTGTCGTTTGAAGCAGACAGGCTGACCGAGTCTCCATCAGCTTTTCCGTCTGCCCCCGTCGGTGACAGCCCGCAGCCCGAGGCTAGTTAGGAGACGTACCGATGCAAAGCCGTTTTGAAACTCGACCAGACGCACCCCCTCAGCAGACAACGGGGTTAGCAAAGATAACTCCCGCCTCTTCATGCAGAACAGGCTTTGCCATTAGAGGTCACTACACGCTGCTAAATACATTAGGGAGAGAGTGCAGCTGGAAAGAGAAAGGAGTTTGACCCATTTTGAAGCCAGTCAAGCTCAGCATGTGAACTCTGTCCCTTCGCTGGAAAGAAACGGCCAGTCCAAGCCATCTTTGGGCCGGCTATGCTACAGACGCAGCAGGCTGAAGATGTGCTGAACGACCGGCTACCTCAGGGGTTTGGGGTGCGATAGATACTTCTATGTTGTGGAGGGCAGAGCAAAGATCCAGACAAGTAGAAAGAGCTCGTGGATGTGACATCCAGAGCTCTCCGACTTGTTTGAGCAAAGCCCAGCAGGATAACGCAGCCGCTTATGAGAGGCAGTGGAGGTAAAGAGGTACACAGAATACAGCGCGTAGAAGAGATGGAGCTGGAAAGACGAGCAAGGATCCTTGCCACATATTTCATCAACAGGAGAGCTGCGTTTTAAAACAGGTTGTTTCCATAGCAGAAGTCAGGACTACTCACCAGCTCGCCATGCTAGCGGTAACAGTGGCGGCACTGTGCGTGTCTGCAAGGAGGAACGGGTGAACGCGAGAGGGAGTGGACGGGCCACGATGCCCAGGTGTTCTGTTCTGAGGGCTCTGCTTGTGCTTGGCAATGAAAACCATCACCCTTGTTTGTATATAGGTTTAGCCCGGCGCACGGAGCAGCATCGTGTGGTTTGTGCTTTCTACCAAGTCACCCGCTTCAGTGAAATAAAATGTTTGGAGCGTATGCACCAAAAGCCACGTCTCAGCCTCCCTTTTTTAGCCTCGTGCTGCTGCAGGGCCAAGGAGAGACAAGCACCGCCCTCCTCCAAGGCAGTTCTGTTTGGCAGCAGAATCCCGGTGCCCGCCTTGTAGCAAGGCAGTGGGATGGCCGCTTATGCTGGGAGTAGTCAGTGAGCACGGTCCAACGGTTACAGAACAACCAGGAGCCAGAGCTCCTGAACCGCACGGCCCAAGACTACACCAGCTTCCTGTGGGACCTCAACCAGGTTTCTCCATCACACTTCAGTCCCACCTGGCTATGAAGGGACACAAAAGGAAGGGCAGCAGCGCATCAATCAATGGGACAGAAGGCCTTAGATCAGGGGTGGGCAAAACATGGCCTGTGGGCCGGATGCGGCCCACCAAGCCATTCTACCTGGCCCACAGGACCCCTAAAAAATTTAGAAAATTGGTATTTATCTGCCCCTGGCTGCCTGTCACGTGGCCCTCGACGGCTTGCCAAAAACTCAGTAAGCAGCCCTCCGCCTGAAATAACTGCCCACCCCTGCCTTCGATTTACGGGGGGGTTCAAAGAAATTTGGAATAGTTTTAGATTCTTAACAACATCCACAGGCATTTATGCGCATCCATTTTCGTTCTCCGACACACCAGATATCTGGCGCACGGGAGCAGACTTGATTAATTGAGCCTGCTTCACACACAAGCTGATGCGTGCTGTGCTACGGCAGGTGTAGTCGTATGAGCAGCAGAATACGCGTGAGCACGCAGAAAACGGTGACGGTGTGAAGGCAGAGCATCAGCTCCCCAGCAGCAGGTATCAAGCAGCGCGCTTAGCACGGCTTGGATATTTGCCTGCTCCCAGTCTCTGCTGCGGAGAGGCATCCCACTCCAACAGGAGGTCTGAGGGGTGTTGCCACAAATACGGAGACCACCGTGTGGGTGATGACAGGTGGGAGGCTCTACAGCTCAGTGCTGCAGGACAAGATTTCACCGCAGCGCTCAGCAGCTGCTTCTGAGATGGGAGGGGAGAAACATGGAGAGTAGCCCCAGGCAACTCTGCTGCAGGGTTGGTTGCAGAGAAACAGTACCAGTGAGACATGCCCACAGTGAAAGCCTTTATTAAAATCCTACTAAATTAAATAGACCATGGCATGGTCCTGGTTGTCTGAGCTTTGATCCAACCAGGCAACTTCCAGGACAGTCAACAGCCGAGAGCAAGGGAAGAGCTAAAAGCCCAGATTTCCACCAGGGAACTCTTGTGTGTGTATTTTGACAAGTTCAAGGACCTGTATGTAAGAGGGACAGACAAGCCCAAACATCTGTAAAGCAGCGCCGGAGAAGGTGGTCGCTGGATACCACTGGATTCTTCTTCCGAACCTGGAAGAAAGAGAATCTGGGATTTCTCTCAAGAGAAAGAGCAGCATTTGGAACATCTCACTCCTGCCTCTGCTGAGCTTCTGCAGACACTTGGTGCTCTACGCCCAGCCCAAGGCACCTCACACTTGTCCTCCGTCTTACAATGGAAAGCTTAACAGGTAGTGGATATTGAGGGACAAGACCAATCAGGTCCCATCTGGTCCATCCTTGTCACTGCAGAACTGTTCCATATAGTGCAGGGTTGTCATCTTTGCTCCAGGCTGGATCCAGACCACAGGGCTCAAATCAGGTGGTGGCAGGGGTTCAGTGGCAGCAGAGCCACGTCCCCACCAGACAAGCAAGGACTGTGTCAACATAGCCTTTGCTCACCCTCCTGCTGCCAAGGACAGTACCTAGTGGGGCTCAGGCCCCACTCCTGCCAGGGAGCCCAGTGAGCCAGATGGAACGGCTCTGCAGGTCAGATCCAGCCCACAGCCATGTCTGACACCCCTGGTGCAGTGTATTGTTCAGGGTTTTGTCCAAGCTTCCCACATCGCTTCCTAGGGAGGATAGCACAGGGGTAACTCAGAGGAGTTACAGCATGGATGTACAACATTGCCTGAGACAGGCACGTAGGCAGCCCCTCTGTAAGCAGAGATGCGGTTTCACCTTACCTGACGCCCTGCACACTACTGCACCAGTCGGTAGGTGATGTATCGACCTGCTGTCTCACTAGGCCGTATGATCTTGACCACCTATGAAGGCAATGAAAGCAACCGATGGGCAAAGGCGGCCAGCACCAATTTCACTAGGTAGGACTTCAGGGGCTTTGCCTACCTGCCATCCCCTAGCACCACTGCCACCCTACCTCGAAAGTCCTTACCTGCCCTCGCTTTATCCCAAAGTATCTGGCCACGGGATCTCCAGCCTGTATCCTTGGCAGCTGGTTCTCTCTCAGCTTACTGAGCAACAGTGAAGGAAAAATCACCAGTGGGGTAAATCAGCTGGGCCTGCTGCCTGCTCTACAGGCTCAGAGCAAATAAAAGCACTACTGTATACACCACGAGTGTGGTAGTTTCCAGCACAAAGCACATCTGTGCTGGCAGGGGCTTCAGGGAGGCTCAGAAACAAAAGGATACTATCTGGCTAGCAGCTCAGTGACTTCTTCCTTTGTCATGACCACGTGCTCTGGAACCAGCTGTAAGTACAGAAGCAGGGAAATCTCAATAACCCAAGGAGAGAAAGACAGAGAGAGAGAGAGAGAGAGAGAGAGAGAGAAAACACACATGCAAGCGAGCGCAAGAGCCACTGTTTCCTGTAGTGACCAGTGTTAGGAACACAGGCTTAGGAAAGACTGGAGTAGCTATTAAATGCAATGCCGGCACCCAACAGCACAAAAGCACACCGCTCCAAGGGGACTGGAGCCCCCAGACAGCTCCAGGATGTGACTGACCATGCCCAGCTCACACCGATGTACCCAGGCACTGGACTCACCTCATGTTCAGTGATGTTAATCAGCAGCTCTTGCTGGAGGAACTGCTCCAAGATGTACTTGGGAGCCATGTCTACCAGGGACTGAAAGAGAAGAGACAGACTGAACATCAGCATGAGCCAGCAAGCCCAGCGCACCAGACTGAGCTGGTCCTGGGTTTATTCAGACTGGGGCTACAGTATGCCATTCCCACCATATTGCCTTTGCTACTTCAAGGGCATGCACAGGTGTGGGTAACAGACCTCTCCACCAGCAGCAGACAGGTGAGCACCACTTCCCCCATCACAGCCTGACATTTGCCCACTTCTCCCCTTGCTAAGCCTTCTGCTCCCTACTGCTCTAGTCACATTTCCTCTTGTCACTCCTTGAATCACTCCCACCCTCCTCACTTCTTCTGTCCCTCTTGGGCAGCAACACTGCGATAAGGGAACGAGTCTCATTCTCTGTGGGATTTTCCTGGGCCCACTACCGCAGTATCTGGGCAGTAACACACTTCACTGCCTGCAAGCTTCACTGACAAGGAGTTAAGAGCAGTATCTTGTACCTTGCAGAATACAAAGTTTGCTCAAGTCAAACCCCCGAGGGGTAGGAAAGAGACTGTTGCAGGGAGCACAACCGTGGCATGTTCCCTAGGTATTTCTAGCGAGCTGAATCAAGAACTCCTCACACAGCTGATCTGTAAGAGCGAGATCATCTCTGTGGCATACTAAGTAAGACCCACGGAGAGCCTTGCGGTAATTGCCGATATAGTCGAGCAACCTCCGCTGAATCCAAAGGGTATCTGCGCCCAGCAGGGCTCGTCCAAGGACCGGACTCGAGCACAGGCACGTGACAGGAGTCCATCCCCACTGCACCCCCCCCGAACTCCTCTGGGGCCAGGCCATCGTGTACGTTTGCACGGACTCCTGCACATCTACACCAGGTGCTTCTTTGTTTGCTTCTTAAAGGAAACTCACAGGAGCCACTTCCTCACACAACTGCAAACCCCAGCCTCTGATGCTGCACCGCGGCCTCACCACACATAACAAGCAAGCGCCTTTCAGGCCACGCCGGCTTTAAAAAACAAAAAAGCAAAGCTCAACCTTGCCCCGTAGGGCAGAGGGCGGCGACATTTTTGGGCAGAGCGCTGAAAACACTCGCGACTCCCAACGTGCAAGACGTTAGCGTGCCAGGGGCGGACGGCAGGGGAGCTACAAGGGGCCCAATCCTCGCTGTTGCCGTGTACCCACCATCCACCCAGAGGCCGAGCAAAACGCCTGCGAGCGCCGCCCTCCGGCACCCTGCGGGGTAAGAACAGTGCCCCAGCCCGCGCGCCGGGCGCCGGTCTTGGCTTCTCAAGTAACGGCCGCCGCTT